TATATATATATATATATATATATATATACATATATTATAACTATATTCGAACCTAACTGACCTCAACCCAAAACGCAACCAACCTAAATCAATCCAAAATCTGAAACCCAAACCCATATCCAAAATCCAATCGATTTTTGGTTTACTCACCCGAACCTATCTGATCCACCCGATGCACACCCCTACATCCTATTTGTGCAATATATTGGGTCATGCCCATTGTACGTTTTTATTTGAGTTTTCGATAAGGATGTGAGCATATTCATCATGCTTCATGGGGTTGTGAGGAAAAAATATGTAACTGAGACGGCCGTTACTTTTTACGATTGTATTTATTGTCAGAACATGAATCTGAATAGATGAAAACAAAATTAGGAAACGAGTTAAGGAGAAACTCAAGTATTGGTTACATAACTCACGTTATTCAAATTGATATACGAATGGGCACACATCCTTATTTACATAAATCACGTATTTCTAAAAGGAAACTACATTAAAAAAATGTACACTTTTACTTAATTATTGTTGTAGACCGCATTTTTTGAAAAACCTAATTTGTTAGGTGTCATTTGATAAATTATATTTTGATGAGTCTTTTATTATTATTTTAAAAAATAAACACATTGTTGTATATTTTAAGGACGTGTTTAGTGAGTAATAATAGTTGTTACACCAATTTCGAAAAAATTAATGTAAATTTTGATATAAATAATAAATTTTTTTCAATCGATAATACCAAATTCTACATAAAAATATAAGATTCTAATATATATATAGTTGGGTTCACGTGAGACCAAGAGTTTTTCGTAAGATCCGTAAGACCAATTTATGTTCATTGATCAAATTTATAAACTAATGATCTAATGGTCTAAAGTTGCAAGGTGACAATTTTGTAATTATGAAAAAGTCTCGTGACGTTTATGAATGTTCAGATTTGACGATTGTAAATCTAATCCAATGGTTGAAAATTGGTAGACGGGTCTCACGAAAAACCATTGGTCTCACATGATCCTAAATAAATAAATAAATATATATATAGGGGTCCATTCAAGGAAAAACTGACTAGTTTGTGGTAACCATGAGATCCATTATCAACCACAAATCAATAGATAAATTATAAAATTTATAATTTTGGTAATTTTGAATTAAAATTTTAATGCAAATACATTTTAGGTATTTTCTATCCTCTCACATCTCTTCTCTCTTTGTCCTCCGGCCACCGGCCACCGACCACCGTCATCCGGTGATACCATTGTGATACCTAAAAATATTGACTATGTTAAATAAAAGACATAGTGTGATATTCAACATATATAAGATGCATTGTGATACTACTGTGTTACATCTCTGATCGATTACACAAACGACCTCAGTGTGATACCCAAACACATATATGATACATTGTGATACCATTGTGGTATCATCGAAGGACGGTGACCGGAGGATGGAGATAGAAGAGAGGAGAGATGAGAGTTTTAAAATACCTAAAATGTCTTTGCATTAAAATTTTAATTTAAAATTATCAAAATTATAAATTTTCTAATTTATCTATTGATTTGTGGTTGAGATTGGATCTCACGATTACCACAAACCAATTAGTTCTCATTTGATTAGGCCCATATATATATATATATATATATATATATATTAAATCCATCAAATTTAATGTAAAATTCAAAAGTCGTTTGGTTCATTTTAAGAAATAAGACTGTAAATTGAAATGAGAATGAAAATGAGAATGCAATAATATAAGAAGAGGAATTTTATTTTCTACAAGTACAAAAATTAACAAGTCTAAAATTATATTATATCAAAGCAAACCATATTTTTCATTACCATTTATTCGTTATTACCTCTTAATATCCGTTTACTGCCTTAATTAAAACAAGTTGGTGTCAAATTTGGTTTCATGTCCCATCGGAAATGGTGTAAATTTATATATTAAAATATGGAAAAATCTAAAAAAACTCAATTGACTTTAGTGTTTGGAATGATTAAGTCTTTAGACAATTTTTTAGTACAAATAAGTAATTGGACATTCCAAAACATGTTAAATAACTTATTGGATACATTTTTGGAACAAATAAGTCATTGGACAATTTAAAACATGTTAAATAACTCATTGGACAATTTTTTGAACAAATAAGTCATTGGACAATCGAAAACATGTTAAATAACTCTTTGGACTTTTCTAAAACCTGTTGGATACATTCTGTACAACTAGTTAAAGTGGTAAAATAGTGAAAAAGTCCGAAAAAACCTCAATGAACATTCATATTTTGAACGATTAAGTCATTAAATATTTTTTGAACCAAAAAGTATTTAGATCTATAAAATTAAACAAATATAATAAAAAATTACTGATCTGAAGTATTTAGATCTATATATTTGTAAATGTAAGTATTTTTTTGTTATATTTGTTTAATTTTATAGATCTAAATACTTTTTGGTTCAAAAAATGTTTAGGGACTTAATCATTCAAAATATGAATGTTCATTGGGTTTTTTTGGTTTTTTTCGCTATTTTACCATATTAACTAGTTGTACAAATCATAAGAATGTATCCAACATATTTTAGAAAAGTCAAATGAGTTATTTAACATGTTTTCGATTATCCAAGGACTTATTTGTTCCAAAAAATTGTCCAATGAGTTATTTAACATGTTTTAAATTGTCCGAGGACTTATATGTTCCAAAAAATTGTCCAACGAGTTATTTAACATGTTTTGAAATGTTCAAGGACTTATTTGTTCCAAAAAATTGTCTAAGGACTTAATCATTCCAAACATTAAAATCCATTGAGTTTTTTAGACTTTTCCCATTAAAATAATAGATAGTATTCTATATATTAAGTTTGTTTGTTTAATAGTGACAAGAAAGATATTCACGTAATGCATCGAAATACATCTTGATTTTAATGTTTTGTTTTTTTGTTTGTCTTCGTCGATGTTATAATACGGTTTTATGTGGTTTTGGAAAAATGATAACATTTTTGCTTTTGAATAAATATAAATTTTAAAATATCATAAATTTTTGAATAAAATATATATTGATATTAATATCAAATTAAATATTTAAAA